TTAAACCAGTATGTGTGTATAATTTAAATATTAATTCAATATATATAATTTCAAACACAAAAATAAATTAATATGAAATCATGTCATAATTAGCAATGAAAGTATCTAAATATAATTTTAAAATTTAAATATTTGTATCTAATAATTAATAAATTGTTGGCCTGCACCACTCAACAGATCAAATTAATTTTTTTAATATGAAAAGAAACATTCAGATGTGGTCAAAAATTTTCCAGAGGAAAAAAAAAGTGAAAATTAATTTAATATGACTGATCAACTTGATAGGTCAAAAAATAACTTGGATGACTAATAAAAATATAATTTGTCTGAAAAATTCAAGATAGTATTATTTTTTAAGATATTGAGACAACAATATTAGATCAACCCGAGTTATGAGACCATGATAATTTCAAATAAAAAAATAAAAAAAATTATAAATCTTTATTTTAATAATCTTATTGTTGAACAATGAAATTATGAAAAATTTATGACCTAAGTTTTCTTGAATTAATTCACAAAATCTATGACCTGAGTTATGGGATAAGAATAACTTTACAAAAAAAAACTAAAATAAATGATGAAACTTAATTTATAATCAATCAAATATTAAAGATGTTTAATAATGAAACTAAAAAAAAAAATCTTAAAAAATAGACAAAAATAACTTGAGTCAACTTATTTCATTCGTTAAACCCAGATATAGGTTATGAGATTAAAAAATATAACATGATTTTTGTTTGAAAAATATAGGTTAATTTAATATAACATGATTAACTTGATAGGTCAAAAAACAATTTGAATGATTGATAAAAATATAATTTGTCTAAAAAATTCAAGACAACATTATTTTTTAAGATATTAAGACAATAACGTTGGATCGATCCAAGTTATGAGATCATGATAATTCCAAATTAAAAAATCCAAGTTATGAGATCATGATAATTCCAAATAAAAAAATCAAAATAAATTATAAATCTCAATTCTTAATAACCCTATTGTTGAACGATGAAATTATAAAAAATTCAATCTAAAAATAGAAACGATAAAATGATCTAAGTTTTTCAGAATTAATTCACAAAACTTATAACCTGAGCTGCAAGACTAGAATAACTTCACATAAAATAAAGTGAAATAAATGACAAAACCTAATTCATAATTAATTAAATATTGAAGATGTTGAATGATGAAACTAAAAAAAATATTTTAAAAAATAGACAAAAATAAGTTGAGTCAATTGATTTAATTTGCTAAATTCAAATATAGTTTATGAGATTGAAATAACTATAAAAAATAAATAATGATAAATTATAAAGTTCAATATCCAATAAATCAACTGTTGCAAAATAAAAATAAAAAAAATAAATAAAAGGTAAAAAAAAAAACAATGATTCATGAAATGAAACGGAAACATCTCACCTGAAATGTGGCCAAGAAATCTGTCATAAACTGGGAATCAGAGGGAATTGAAATTTATTCCAGATTATTCTATTTATTAAAACAATACAAGATATACCGGTTATTCTGTCCCAAAAAAAAACACGGAATTAACAATCCTAGTTGAAACTGAAAAGTGAAAAAGCAACATGAAACCAGCCTAAAATTGTAAATGGGCCTAGCTTCATGACTTCAGGCAATCAATAACCCGGTTTATCCGGCCCATGATTCTGAACAAAGACTTTTTTCAGTTTATTAAAAAAAAAAAAATTAAATTGCCAAGATATTGCCCATCTGATAATCTAAGATTTTTGAGGACCCCGAGAGGGGACCAAGAGAAAGGGCAATGGTTAAGAGGCAGCCATGTGGCAAAGGAGCTTCCACGCCACCCACACATTACGGATGACAATATCCACTATCCAAGCATTCAATCCACGTGTGAGTTCCCTGTTGGACAACCAGATCCTAACCTAATCTAAAAGTTGGGCCACATCTCCTGTCAGCCATGATTTCAAGTCCCCAACTTGTGGTTTACCTTACTTTGGCCCTTATTTCCTCCCTTGTTTTTGTTTATTCTAGGCGAGAGCTGCAGTCTATCAGAGTCATACCTGTGTGGTAGTGGTACACACATACTAAAAAAAACAGAAAGAAAAAGAAAGGGAGAAGAAGAAGGATTAGGGAAAGGGGGAGAAATGGCAGCGCAAGCACTCGTGTCATCATCTCTTACCTCTTCAGTGGAGACTGCTAGGAAAGTGCTAGGAGCAAGACCAACCCAGTCACCATTCGTGTCCTCAAGGAAGAGCTCTTTTGTTGTTAGAGCAGCTTCTACCCCCCCTGTTAAGGTATGATCGATCTGCTTCTTTCCCTGATTTCATTTACAGCTATTCAGTAGAGGCTAGTGCTGCTCACGTCGTAATTCTCAATTCTTCAGCAAGGAACAGACAGGCAGCTGTGGTTCGCATCGAAACAAAGCTTGTCTTACTTAGACGGCAGGTAAATCATGCATGGATTTATATATATATATGCACACACACAGAGAGAGAAATGATCATTAATTAAGTCGGCATCTAATTCGCTTTTCCTCTTCGAACTTTCTACTCTATAGCCTTCCAGGTGACTTCGGATTCGACCCACTTGGACTTTCAGACCCTGAAGGCACAGGAGGTTTCATTGAACCAAAATGGTTAGCCTACGGTGAGATCATTAACGGACGATATGCCATGTTGGGGGCGGTTGGTGCCATTGCACCAGAAATTCTTGGAAAGGCTGGCCTCATACCTCCGGAGACCGCCCTCCCTTGGTTCAGGACTGGTGTCATCCCACCGGCCGGGACATACAACTACTGGGCAGATCCATACACGCTGTTTGTTTTCGAGATGGCACTCATGGGATTCGCAGAGCACAGGAGGTTCCAGGACTGGGCAAAACCAGGTTCCATGGGCAAGCAGTATTTCCTGGGATTCGAGAAGTATTTGGGTGGGTCCGGAGAACCAGCCTACCCTGGCGGACCCTTGTTTAACCCCCTTGGATTTGGGAAAGACGAGAAGTCGTTGAAAGACTTGAAGTTGAAGGAGGTGAAGAATGGCAGGTTGGCTATGTTGGCCATCTTGGGTTACTTTGTGCAAGGTCTCGTGACCGGAGTCGGACCATACCAAAACCTCCTGGATCACCTGGCCGATCCTGTCCACAACAATATCTTGACCAGCCTTAAATTTCATTAGGGCTCATTCTTGCCTGTTTGGGGATAGGAATAGACCACCTCCGAACCCCTTTCAAGTCCTCTCCTACTCATTGTAACCATTGTGTGAAAAGCTCTTCTGTAATTCTCTGTAAGAAAATCTTCCTCTCTTGTTTCTCTTGAGATAATGAAGCAGCTTAATAGCCATAACAGGTATGTGCTCGGGTACACAGCAGCGATGGCACCTGTGATGAAGCTAGAGAATCGAACCAGCTCACAAAACTGAAAAAAATAAAATAAATAAAAACCGTCGACGGGGAGCTTTCACCTGCTTTGCCCTTTTAAAAAAATATAATGGGTAGAATCATTTCTATAATAATAGGAATATTTTTGTATTTTTAAACTGACTGGGATAGGACTGGTATTTTATTTTTTTGATGGCACGATAAGTTTTTAATACTGCTCTTGAAATTAATAAATTGTCAAGCTGTCATTGAGGGTTACAGAATGCGTAGAGTTAAATAATCTATTTACCCTTTTAATAATAATAATAATAATAATAATTTAACTAAAAACGGAGGGCTTTTCTGTATCTTTCTTTCGATATGTATATTAAAAAGACCTGGCTACCCTGAAGTTTAAATTTTTACAATTTGGTCAGGGTATTTTTACGTTAAGCTGTTTTTTTTGGTAATTAATGATTTGGGGTAGGGGCAGCTTGGTTTTTTTATAAATTAAAAATAATTAAAAAACATTGATGAGTGTATCAAATGACACGTGAAAATAATTCCAATGACCAAAATTATTATTTCAGGGTGGCATGTAGTTTATTTCGATGTTTATTTTTTTTTCTTCTTTCTTTTTTTCTTGGTGTCTGTGCTTGCTGAACAGTTTTTCAAATCAATCACAAAATTTTTTTTTAGTATTTATTTTTTCAGTTATTATTTATTTTATTTAAAATAATTTTTAAATTTACAATTTTATTTTGATTTCATTCTTATTTAATTTTTTTCTTTGTGAAATTTAATCATTATTATTTTAATTATTATTTATTGAATTTGAAATAAGTTTTAAAATGAATATTTTTTTTAATGATTTCACTCTTTGTTATTTTTTTCCTATTGAATTTTATCCTTATTTTTTTAATTATTATTTTTTTATCTTATTTTTTTATTTAATATTTAATTAGTTTAGATTTAAACTTATTGGTTAAAACCTTATCTAGAATTTCATAGGTTAAAAGTTTTGAAAATTAACCTAACTTTATGAGACTCACTTGAAATTGCTTTGTTTTTCTAATTTTTTTTTTAAAATGAAGTTTGTTTAGTTTTATTTTTCAACACTTACTTAATTCGAGGTTGAACTCCATTTTTTTTCAACTTGCCATATTTTTGTTTATTTATTTATTTAATCGAATTATCTCAGGTTTTTTTATTTGTTGTTATTTACTAAATTTATTTTTTAAAATAAAATTTATTCTTAAATTCAATAGAATTGATTGATTGAATATAAACAAAAACTCACTTTTCTTTTTATTTTTTTTAGGGTGGTGCTATGATGACTAGTGCAACATTTTTTGGTGTTGTGTAGCTTATAATGAGGTTTAGAATGTCTTATCAAGCTTTTATATATTTTATCTGTTATCATCATCTATAGTTTAAATCATATTATTATATTACTTAATTTTATTAGATGCAATCAAATTAATAACTTGAGGGTAAAGTTTTTCTTATTTATTTAAAAATACTATCTATCGTTGCCTAAGGATCCCTTTTCCATGTTAATTTTTTTTTGGTTGGCTCTTGGTGTGCCACAGATTACCTATCTAGTTTAAAACTATAGAATATTGCATTTATACATTGAGGTTATCAAACTTCTGTACAAGCACCCATGCTTTTTATATTAAAGGGTTAGTAACAAGTTCAAATTCGAACAGCTCTAATACATTGGAGCTTATGTGCAGGATTAAACGTAGATAGAACATATACTAACATTTTGTACCTTTGGTGGCTAAAGGTTTGATTGTAACGAATTGTCCACAACCAAATAGATGCACCGTTCTTGAGAACATCTGCAGGGGAAGGTAAAGATAAATGTGTCAACTTTCTGGTTAACATTTTCAAAATATAAAAAATTCGGGCTAACTTTTTCGCTTCTAGTTTCCCCTTCCACCTAGGGTTAAAAAATACTGTAAGCGAGGCTTTTCTGTCTCTCGGCAAGTTCAACCATACCCACAAAAGAAAAGTCCATCACCCTACCCTGGGCCAGCTTCAAATAGAGAACAAATGGTTAACAGTTCAATATATAATTTTTCCCAGTATGTGTATAAAAGCTCAAAATACTGTATAAGAAAGGAAGCAGCATTTCATACTCGTGGCCAACAACAAAATTATCATCAACAAATTCTTCTCGGCATTGCATTAAAAATAGCATCTGCTAGCAGAACACACTGGCTATTAAAATGTTACAAAAGCAAGATGGCCCTCAACTTCAGAATCACATCTTTAACTTGTTATCGCCTATCTTCTTGAGCTGCACAGATCAAGGAAGAGCATCTCCTAAAATCAAGCTGCCTCAGCCACTGGTTCATCTGCACTCGACGCCTCCTCCCTGCAAACTACACCAGTTAGAATACCAAACATAAAGGGGGAAAATTAGGACTTTTCTGCAGGCTTTATGATTTTTCTCATAACTAGCAGGTATTAATTCCTTAACTGCCATCAAACATAATGAGCCAAGGTACAAGAAAACAGCTGCACAATAGTGTTAACAAACCAGTATTAATTGTGAAGTCACATTTATTTGCTGCTATTCAGATACCACACACCATATCTGTTACAGTGTAACATTCTTACATGCAGAATGCCACCAGGCTTTCTGAAAATGGCATCAAAGGTTCGTACCAGGACAGGGATGGTTTCCCGTGGTCATCAAGGCTATGTAAATTTATGGGTACAAAGATGGTTATTCCTTGTCTTTGGAATATTGAAATACCAAATAAGTTGCAAAGAGAGAAGACATAATTGTTAAAAAAATCCTTATTCCCTAGTCACTAGATCTATGTTTTCTTCCAGGTGAAAAGAATTCTATACCTTTGAATTCCCTCTCCAACTTCCATTCTGAAAAAGTTATCTATCTTCACAGGTGAGCCCACTTCCTTGGATAGATTGCTGAGCAGTGTCTGTGAGGCAGCATGTAAGACACTTTTTTTACAATTGCATTGTATAAATTATATGATGCACTCACAAACAAGACACATATTCACATCAACAAATTCTTCTCGGCATTGCATTAAAAATAGCATCTGCTAGCAGAACACACTGGCTATTAAAATGTTACAAAAGCAAGATGGCCCTCAACTTCAGAATCACATCTTTAACTTGTTATCGCCTATCTTCTTGAGCTGCACAGATCAATATCATCTCCTAAAATCAAGCTGCCTGAGCCACTGGTTCATCTGCACTCGATACCTCCTCCCTGGAAACTACACCAGTTAGAATACCAAACATAAAGGGGGAAAATTAGGACTTTTCTGCAGGCTTTATGATTTTTCTCATAACTAGCAGGTATTAATTCCTTAACTGCCATCAAACATAATGAGCCAAGGTACAAGAAAACAGCTGCACAATAGTGTTAACAAACCAGTATTAATTGTGAAGTCACATTTATTTGCTGCTATTCAGATACCACACACCATATCTGTTACAGTGTAACATTCTTACATGCAGAATGCCACCAGGCTTTCTGAAAATGGCATCAAAGGTTCGTACCAGGACAGGGAAAGTTTCCCGTGGTCATCAAGGCTATGTAAATTTATGGGTACAAAGATGGTTATTCCTTGTCTTTGGAATATTGAAATACCAAATAAGTTGCAAAGAGAGAAGACATAATTGTTAAAAAAATCCTTATTCCCTAGTCACTAGATCTATGTTTTCTTCCAGGTGAAAAGAATTCTATACCTTTGAATTCCCTCTCCAACTTCCATTCTGAAAAAGTTATCTATCTTCACAGGTGAGCCCACTTCCTTGGATAGATTGCTGAGCAGTGTCTGTGAGGCAGCATGTAAGACACTTTTTTTACAATTGCATTGTATAAATTATATGATGCACTCACAAACAAGACACATATTCACATGCTTGTGCAGAGTGTGGAGTGTCTGTGTAAGTGAGAGAGAGAGAGTGCGCACAAACAAGACACATTCACACGCTTGTGCAGAGTGTGTGTGTGTGTGAGAGAGTGATGGGAGAGAAAGATGGTGGCCTGGAATACCTTTACGTTCATTGTATCATTCATAACAAATTTTTGCTCCATCAAAACAACTTCCTCGTAGTATTTACGCAAACGGCCTTCCACCATTTTCTCTATGGTCATTTGAGACTTCCCTGTACTTTCTGCCTGACATATAAAAACCCATTATTAATAATTAAAATCTTTACATGGAAAAATAAATCAATTAGAAAACAGTTGTAAAGTACTTTAACCTACCAAAAAACGAACAAAAAAAGTAGAGAACTTTTCAGCATAACCATTAGAACATCCTTCACAACAGAATGATCTACATGTTAACATGCCTCAATCAATCTATATTGTACAGGTTACTGCATGTAGTTTGCCTATGTCATATTTAATCCAACATTGACTGACATGCATCTTTTTTACACAATAATATAATGATGCAGCAATATGACCAAAGAAAAATAGTAATGGAAATAGCATTGGTCAATGATGGCTTAAACATAACAAGAAAAATACGCATCTCCCACAGGAAGTTCCTAAATGAACATTTTCTGATGCAAACCCAACTGAGATGAACCTTGGAATCAGCAGCACCAATTCCTTTTGTATTTGTACTTCCTTTGATGTCCAATCATCAGTGAAATCAATACTTTTCACAGCCCAAATCTACCCTTTTTTGTCAGAAAACCTTGACCCATTTTTTCATCATAACATAAACAATATTCATGCAATAACACTTAACTCCTAAGAAATGCAACATACCAAAAGATTTGATACTGCCAATGTCATCCTCTTGATTCTATCAATTTCTCATTGGATTTTATATTTCATCGTCTGCCTAGGATCCAATAGCATAATATCTTACAGTACTCTGTTGCTTCAGTTTGGTGGATAGTATCACATATGCAACATCTAAAACCACAAACTAACCCTTCAAATGGAAAAGGTACAATCATCAAAGCAAAGATGCATCATTAAAGCTAAATTAGGTTATAAATGTCTTAGATGTAGCCCAAAAGAAAAAGGTTGGAACTACGATATAACAAGAAAATACTTCAGAAAGAGATCTTCGAAAGTTCAAAACAAATAACTAAAAACAGGTATGAAAAATAGAACAAAGTAAGATGGGCTTCTCAGATCTAACATCACAGTTAACCAACAACAGAGAAATAGAACAAATCAAGACGGACTTCTAAGATCTACTGACAAAGCTAGCATGGACTCACAAGTTACAATTTACCTGAGACTTAAGAATTTCACGTTCACTCTCTAATGCATCAGAGGAAACACCTTCCTTAGTCAAGAATAATGGTTTTGCTGCTACCAGATGCACAGCCAATTCTGATCCAACACGCTGGACAGTGTCCAACGGAGAATTCCCATCTTCTATCTCAAGAGATAAAAGTCCCACAATACGGCCCAAACCTACATCCATGCACATAAGGTGGCGCAAGCCAAATGAGATCCTTCGGTATACCAGACTCTCCAGCTCATATGAAATTTTAGAAATCATGGCATGTTCTGTTGAGCATTCTATGAGTATGAGACAAGGGCACGGGCACGTGTGCTGTGTGTGCATGCAAGAATAAAATCTTCTTTGAAAAGAAAGGAAGTCACTTCCAAAATACTGTACCTGGTTGAGGACTAGTATGAAGGTAAGAGGAAAGAACACCAGGTGAAGGTGCAGACATCACAAAGCCCCTTCTGAGCCTTACATTCTCACCCATCATTGCAGCCACTTCTGTAATTGCATTTTGAACAGTTGTATCTCCACTTATTTTTGGATGTTCAAGATTTAACTTCAACTCCTGATTAGGATAAAATTATTCACTCATAACATCCAAGAAACCCAATTTCACTAACAGATCCTAATATGTTGGGGAACTCAAAACCTAATTGAAGTCAGATACCACACTATGAGCTGCTGAAAATTATCCCAGGAAAAGTAATTGTAAACAAAAAAGTATCATCTCACCTCCAGAGACTCGAGACCTACAGGATGGACCCCAGAAACCAACTGAGAAGCATTTTCAACCAGCAAAGCCTGCTTTGCTAAAGTTAAAGCCTGCATTATCACAATAACAGAATAAGGTCCGGAACATTAACCATGGAGAACTTGGGGGCAACTTTAACTCCCCAAAGAAGGCTAGTACAACGAAAAGAGAAAAAAAACTACGAACTAACCAAGTACTGGAAAATTTCATTTCTGGCAACAAAGTCAGTTTCACAGTTAAGCTCAATAACAGCAGCCTTCCCCTCATTTTGAGCCAATGCAAGCAATCCTTCAGTGGCAATTCTACCCGCCTTTTTCATTGCCAAAACTTTCCCTCTTTTCCTCAAATCCGTCTGTGCCGCCTCTACATGTACAGAAAAATTAATACACCACATCCCAAATTCAAAACCACAAAAATTACGAAATAAAATAAAATAAAATCATTCCAACTTCTCTTTCATCCATTCTCTTACCAATATCCCAATTGCATTGGACAAGAGAAGCCTTGACATCTTTGATAGGAGCGCTAGTCCGTTCTCTCAATTGCTTAATGAGAGTCATTTGGACTGCTGCAGCAGGAGGTGTTTGAGAGCTAAATCGCCGAGAAAGCACTCCAAATGCATATCTAAATGCAGTTTTGTCATCTGCAGACTGATAAATGGGAATGGCGGTGGCTGCTGTAGAATATCTTTGTCCATAGCTAACACCCGACCTGGTAGTTAGCATTCTTGAAAGAGGACCCTTGGCATTTCTACAGAGAGCCATTTCTACAAAAACCTACAGTCTTAACAACATGAAAATTCAAAAGAGAAAAACTATTTCAATTTCAAGAACAGAAAATATTAGAATAGCCCAAAAACCTGCCCACAAAATGAGTAGGGTTTAACATATATATTAATAAATAAATAAATAAAAGGAGATCGAGGATATGGAGTTTGAAGAGACTTTTTTTTCTCTTTGTGTGTGTGTGAGTAAAAGACAGAAAAACTAACCTGAAACTAAAAGGTGCGGTCGAATCAAATGGAAATAAGGAGCGAAGATTGAAGAAGGGAGTGGTGGCGCTGCTGATTCCACTCGATCGATTTTGTGTGTGTTTTTATGATTTCTGAACAGGAGAGGAGAGCAGAGGCCTTCTTTTCTGCTTTGGGCTGCGCCACTGCTTGTGTGTTTCGGGCTCAACTCTAATTGTGTAGCCTCAGAAGAGACAGAACTCTCACCAATGTTGTTATTATTAGGGAATCCAAAAAAACTAATAAATAAATAATTAAATTGAAGAAAAAAAAGTTAATTTTTGTAATAGTATTTTTTAACTGTAAGAATAGGGCAAGAATTATTACGGATCATGTTATGAGCTGCGTTGCGAGTTAGTTTATTTTTTTAATGTAAAAAAAATTAAATATTACTAATATATTTTCTAATAAGAAAAAATCTTTAATCATGAACTCAAAAATATATTAAAAAATATTTTTTAAAATATCAATAAGTCAATATATTAAATGATATTTTTTAAAATATTATAATGATAAAATATTGAATTGACCTGAATTAATTTGTTAAATTTATGATATAAGTCATGAAATTATGATAGCCTTATAAAAAAATAAAAATAAATTATAAAGGTTAATTCCTAATAATTCCAATATTAAAAAAAAAATTAAAAAAAATTAGATTAAGAAAATGATAAAAAAAACCCTACCTGAGTCAACCTGGATAAACTACCTTACAACTTGTTTCATGAAACTAAATAACTTTATAAAAATTAAATAAAAAAATTATGAATCTTTATTTTTAACAGATTCAATGTTAAAGATTGAAATCAAGAAAAGAAAAAAACTAAATCAATGATATTGAGATAACTCAATAAATCAAATTCTCAAACAACCTAATATTGAAATATAAAATAAAAAAACAACTATATATATATATATATATAAATTAATTTGTTAGAGGGTGAAATTAAAAAAAATAATATTCAATTACAAAAAGATTAAAAAAGATAACCAAGTCAACTCTAGTTAACCTATTAAACTCGTAATCTATGTCTTTAGATTAAGATAAACTTATAGAGAACAAATTGAAAAAAAATATGAAGTCAAATTAAAAAATATTTAATTAAAAATGATAAAAAAAATAAATAAAATCAACTCAGGTCAACTTATAAAACTCGTAACTCGAGTAATGAGATCGGGACAATCTCATTAAAAGCAATAAAAAACACTTGAAGCCTAATTTCTAACCAATCCAATGTTGAATGATGAAATAAAAAACAATTCGAAAAGACAGTAAAAAAATTATCTGAGGCAATCCTAATTAACATATTAAACCCAAGACCTATATCATAAAATGGAGATAAATTTATAGAAAACAAATAAAAAAAATTACAAAGCTCCACATCTAACATATTTAATGTTGAAGGTTGAAATCAATTAAAAAAAATGGATCTATAAGATTGATATATAACCCAAAAGAAAGAAAATTCAAAAACAATTTGAACCACAATTTCTAAAACAACTTAATATTAAATGATAAAATTAAAAAAAAATTAAATTAAAAAATAATGAAATTGAATAAGAAAAAACCAAACAAAAAAACATGAAACATTATTCATGTAGTTACAGTGATTTAGTCACATTGTTTAGTATTTTGTTAACTAGATAGATAACATATTCTATACCATGGGCTGGCCTAATTTTTTTTTCAACATAAAAAAAGGATGTTAAAGCAATGCAAGCTCAATTTCTAACAAATAAAATATTAAAGGACAAAATTACAGAAAAATATATAATCTAAACAAATTAAAACAAAAACCTACTTGAGCTTATCCAGATCAACATGTTATTAGTCTAGTCAGCATGTTATTAGATACACACCAATCATCTAAGGTTTTGATGACAAAAAATATGCTATTAATCTCCATGTTTTAAAACCATAAAAAGAGCAAAAGTATTAAGCAAGTTTCGATATCTATCCCAACATTGATAAAATATTTATCTTGGTTTTTTTAGTGAAAGTAATGATTTTTCTTTTGAAAGAATTTGTTTTGTGAGATGAAAAAAACTTCTTTAAAAATTATTGTTGCATTTCATCCCAAGTACGAATGGATCCCGACCTAAGATTTTGTAGTCATGTTTTAGCTTTATCTTTTAATGAAAAAAAAAGCTTTAATCTGATAATGTTCATGCTACAATTTAAGTTATTATAAGTGTTACAAACTTTTTTAAATTCTCTCAAATGCAAGTATGAATTTTCTATATCTAAGTTATGAAAAGAAGGTAAAAATTGAATAATATCTGGTTTAAAATTAAAATAAAATGCATCAAGGGGACTATGCATAATGGTGCACTTGTTCTTGTGGGATTCATGTAGTCTCTAAGTGTTCTAACACATTTATTCTTATTATAAAGCAACTAGTTATCTTTCTTGGTCATATTTTCTGAAAATGATAAGGATTTTCTAGAAAGGCGGTACATGACCAAATTCTCATGCATGTATAGGAAAAGAATAAAATGGAAGAAAAGAAAAAAAAAAAGAAAAAGAAATAAAAGTTATATTTAAGAAAAGTGAAAAGAAAAAATAAAATAAATACTATAATTTATACAAGAATTTACTCCTCAGCAACGGTGCTAAAAACTTGACACAACCAAAAGATTGATGTCTTCTCCCAAGTGCAGGA